TCATTTACATTCACAGCTGGACTGTAAAAAATAATAAATTTATAAGGAGAGTTAGAGAAGTTACAGCTGGCACAAAGCAAGAATGAAAGATCATTTCTGCACATTCATAAACCATAAAAATCGCTGCTGTAATATCAAGAGACCAGATGGGAATTGAAGATCACTCAGTTTTAAAAGAATCAAACGTTGAAAATACAATGATATGTAAAATCACTCAGGTTTGCACTTTTCTTTAAAAAGTTCTAGATTTCTACTTCACCATGTAACATCCGAATACTCTACAACATTTTGAATATCTAATCAAACGGGTAATTGTTGGTAGTTGCATTTGACCCTGAGACAGGACTTAAATCATGGTAACTGTTCATGACAATAGAACCAAACTCTGGGCATATTTTTACCACAGACTCTTAAATTATCTCTTTATCTTCACACAGGTTGAAATTTTGTTGATCAGCTGCATGGAAGTGTGTGCACAGTTTGAAAAATGAAACGATAATCTCATGTCATCCTGGAAACAGTTTTCTAATTTAAGTATTCATCGCTGACTATTCTTGTCCACAAAGGTGATAAAGCAGTCTCATTACGACTTCGTAGCTCCTATGAAAATCATAAATTGAGGTTAACTGACAAAATACTTCCATAAAACTGCTTGCACTTTTTCAAATGTCGTCTCATCCGATAACCAGGATTTCCTCATGATAATTTGATCAGCATCCACTGTAACATGCGCTACTCTGATCACTTTCTGAATTTGTTTCCACAAAATCTATGCAAACCAATTAAGACTGGAATTACATCCAGGAATTAGTATACATTTCCACGTCACCTACACTTATATTTTGCTGTTCATAAACATCAGATTCACTGATGCAGAAGATAAACGAGAGAGATTCTGTTTTATTCGGTCACTTTCACTACTCTAGCTACAAACGTTTTTGATGGGCTACATGATAAATTTGTACTTTATGTGTTCTCACTATTAAAATTCTTGCTTTTACAAGCTTTGGACGTATATTTCCGTATGTCTTCATGTTAACAACATTATTCCTTACAGACTAGTATGTCCTCCGTAACCGTCTTGCAGCCGTACTCATCATTTAATGTATTATGTTGTGTAACATCAATTAGGCTGGTTTCCCAGTTTCCTTCCTGATGTAAAACTCAATTCATCATGTTACCAAGTGATTGTGATATTTGATTTCTTGATTCGTTATTTCAGTGACTGTTTATCCCTATAGCTGTGATGAGAAAATACGAAAAGAGTACATTGTTGTACATCCGATTACTTGGTCATGTATTCTAATACAGCTCCGCTTATCATCAGTAAATATATGAAACTGTGTACTACTGACTGACTGAAGTGCCACTCTTATCAATCAATAAATGTTACCAGCGAGATCGAGGTGATCCAGACACCGGACGGTTCAACCTACCTGATTTTTGCCAACAACTTTGGCGACTTGATGTTATCATAAATCAAATTAGCTATTTTCAAAAAAGGTAACAGTTGGATTATTTGAACTGGTTCGGCTTTCTCAGATGAGTGACACAAGGCTCATCGCTAATGACCTCCACGCCAATCGAGTGAAATGGCTATCCACCGTTTAGATCACCTCGATGTGATTACTAATTTATGTGAGTGGTATAAATATATTCTTGATTACTGTTTATAGTTTCAAGCTGATCACATATCTTGATCTTGATAATTTGAATTTCAATTGGAAACTATCTTGAAGTAATCACCTCAAACTGTGCAAAATTCCAACAGACGACTGTGAATTTCTTCCACTTACCGAGGTTTGAGGAGCATGTTAGCAAGATTAATCCTTAATAAAATACGTGTACCTCATCGCCAACCTCATCGAAACAGAGATGGTTTGTGGCAACACTCTTTCGTTTCGCATTATGAACTGAAATCTGCTAAAAGGATGCTACGTATATCTCTGCTAAACAGAAAAGCGATACCAACATTATAACATATATAACTTTATATATTTAACATATATATATATATATATATATATATATATATATATAATGAAATGCTTTTACACAGGGGACGAGGAAATCAGCGCCTTGCATAATTTCACTCGATGACATTATGTTTTATAGCGTGAGCTTCTTCCGGAATGTCATGTGATGATAAGTTCACTTGCTCAAGAAGAACCTACAATATAGTTGTTGTGGAAAGGCGAAATTAGACAAGCCAAGCCTAATTCTCATGCATATCGTTCTATCAAATAATTCCGGATGAACAGAGAAATGTGCGTTGGTGGCACAGTGGTTAGGACTCTCGCTGACGATGCACATGGTCCGGGGTTCGAGCACACGCGGGCGCACACCTGATATCTATGGTCGGCCTGCAAAATTTCGGCTACCGATATCCATGCTGAAAATTCCATACTTGTACCGAAAATACAGTGTGGAATCAAGCTGTAAATCAAAAAAAAAATCAAAAAATCAAAAATGTGTCAATGTGACACATAAGGTGAAACAAGGTCGTTTAAACGGGTTTCCAGTTACATATTCTGTCTACAGCAGAATCTTGTGCTACTGACAAATAAAACTTTGAACTGTGCATAGAGAAACTGCTTATCCAATGGTTTCTAATATTGTGACCAGAACACTATTCAAGAATATTCTTCGTTGATCTAGTGTTTTCCATATCGACTTGTCGTCTGATCGAACATTTTGTTTACTTATCGAGAATATTCATAGTTGTGCGACTGAGTTCATGGGTAATTGAATCGTGTCCCAGTGGTTTAATCGTTCACGAGATCGCCTTGTACCCGGAAGGTCCTGGCTTCCTACCACAGTAGGTGCGTGGTGATGAGGAGTTCCAGGTGTCAAACACTCCCAGATTTTCCAATGATATGCTAACCGATATCAGTTCATTATGAAATACTGAATCCAATCAAATCCCTGCCAATCACCAATTTCATTTAGATTTGTTGAGGTATAACTTGTCTTCTTCTTCGTGGCTCAATTCATACAAACAGAATAACATTTCAATGTGTTTACTTATAGCCAAGTATGCTGACACCCTTGAAACTCTTTCTTATATAGTTACAGATGATGTCTAAATGGAGATATCTGTGTGTAAAAAAATCGGTTTTCGAATACAGAATATCCTCACCAATCATTACTAATTATATCATTCGTACAATATTGAACTTTATTCTCTCAGGAATTTCTTTAATCAACAGTGGCCCTCCCTTAGCTAACACAACTTGATATTTATGCGACCAGACAGGTGAACTGAACAGAATATTTTATGCAAAGACGTAGAAAGTGATGTGCATTAAGTGTGACTGTCGAACAACGTTCCAGTTTAAAATGAATTCAGAAAAATCAATGAGAAGACGAACTGTATTTGACACCAGCGATAACCTGCGTAACATATTTCGGATATTTGGTCGCACACATGAACTTGTCATACATATTTGTATATAAAGCAACAGATTGTAAAGGATGATAAAGCACCTCTCAGTATGGAGAAGAAAGGATTTCTGTTGTCCAGTATTCCTTCACAGCAATAAACTGATGCTGTCACATCTCACTGTGTTTACCAGGTTACATGCATGTGTGGGACTACCTATCTGTCTCTACAAGTCAGGTTCCTGTATGTCTGTAAGAATAGGTAAAACTGTCTGATTCAGATAACCCTGAAAGTAAATGTCCAATGTCATCTTTCGCAAAACACAACATTGAGCCGGTCATAGAGCTGATTTCAGTAGTGGTGTGCGACAGCATCCTATGTCCACGTGTATGATTCTATCACGAGTTGATTTCAGTTGGAGAAGCCTTGTAAGCCATTGATGACTTCTGAACTGGTCTTCTTTTACTAAATTTTAACTCCAAGAAAGTACTAATCCACTGGAGTAAGAAATGTTAGAAGTTGGAATTCATGAGACATTGCTTCGGGTCCCACTGGCTGAATGGTCAACCAGCTAACCTTGCAACCGGCAGATCTAGAGTCTGAACGACGGATGGTGCGGATGTTAAAGATTTTTATAGTGGGACGTCACAGTACTCCCTTACGGTTCCCGATAATTTTCTAACTGATATCAATCCGTGATTGAACTCGGAAGAAGTCAAATCCTTGCAAGTGGACTCTTGTATATTAATTCGGCATTATGCTTTCAACTAACCACTGATTGATACTTTATTCGTGAATTAAATTTCAAATGCAATAGTTGAGTGTTGAGTAAAGACAGGTAGTATCTCCCCAGAAAATTATAATTCCTTCCATTCCTTAGTTCATTCTTTGTGTTCGTTGTGGGAGAGAGAGTTTCAGCGAAAGTGGTGATGTTGCTAGCCTCACGCTCAACCTTCTCTCATTTTTGATTACGCTACCGGCTGGGTGAGTTGTGGAATTTCGTCGACCGGGAATGCAATCCCAGACTACGTGTGTTGTTGACGAGCGTTCGATGGCTGCACCACCGATACAAACATCGTGCACATAGGTGCATTAAGAATACCATATTCAGCTATAAGACTCACTCTTCTCTACGAATTGCCTATCCAGCTGCACAGTCGTACATGCATGATTCATGTAAATTCAAATGAAGTGTTATAGATGTTATATAATACCAAGTATCATGTTCTCATTAATTATTAGTTTGAGAATGTCTATTTTATCCCGTCCCTAATCTTTGATTCCAAAGACAATGTGATCACTGTGTTCCAGGTTTCATCAGAATTTATTTCAACATAACTGCTCACAATTTTATCTCTAACACGACCTGTGTATTCGCAAGTGATTGTGTATTTATTCCTCAGACTGTATCACATTGGAAGGTTTTGATGAAAATCAACCAATGCCCAAAAGTTGATGAAACAAAATTTTCATCACAACAACAATTTCAATAGTCTCATTGTTCTTTGATACTCGATGTGTAGTTAGAATTACTGATGTGTCAGTCATACACCAATATTATCGACACTTTCGGTGGGTGTGTTCTTGTTTAGTGTAGGACGTGTTCGTTGGTATAATGGTATAAAGGTTACTCAAATGAATGTATTGAGCACACGATTCAAGACAAACACACACATTTCACACATTCTCTGAAGTGATCTGATCAAAACTCTGATCACTATGTGAGTTCATCACTTTGTTTGGTTCATCGGTGATAATATATCAGATCGTTTCATTTGACAAAATCTCGTAATTCATATTGGTGAGTCAACACGAAATTCTATTGTGAAATGAGAAATTCAACTCATTTGAGATGGATATATCTGCATAGTTGGTCACGATTCACACGGATACTTAATCGCTTCATCTTAATAACTAGAGTCAAGTCTTTATTTAATCCAAAGGAGAAGGATATGTTTTATAGGAGTTGAATTCCCTGTCACCTTCCCTTCTATTGTCACCTTATTTTGAACACCCTATAACGAACCGTCTCTTCTGATGTCAAGTTCAGTGGTGAACTCACTTAAGTGAAAGAACTACTGAAAACCACCAGAGACTACTTGAAGTGTGTTTCATCCAGGTTGATGAGACTTGAGCTGAACTCACAACACGCATAACCCCAACACAATCCAACGAATCCAGCACTTCGAGCTTACAAGGTGAGTTAGTTTCCCAACAAGTCTCAGAATCGGACTCTCTTGAATCACTGATTGTGTCGACTTTGTTTCAGAGTTATACGACAAAGACTCAACATGTGTGTATAAGTGTGTTGATCTACATTCTCTAACTTGCGGCATTTTTTACTTAGGCGTGCTATGTATCTGATCGCTAAAAGATATGTGTGCACTGCAATATTTCACCCTTCATCATGGCTTTATGACAGAATTATTGAAGTTGAAAGGCATCAAATGATCGTCCATTTTTTAACGAAGATATCTGTGTTCTGTTTCTCGTGGTTAGTTGTTCATTTTCATGAGTTGCAGTGATGTTACAATTGTAGTGTCAGCAAACGAGGTAACGTCAACTGATGGATGGGACATGTATAATGCATGTTATAGTCTGCTTGGTTAACCTCTCTGTTTGATGTAACTGAAAATAATTCGCAGTTTTCAGATTAATCCACTGCCAACAGATGGTGAAATCATCCTGTTTCTCGAGCGCTTTCATTTATTATAGTTTCCTTCATCGTTTTCTCTACCTGTTTCTAAGCTTATTAATAATAGCTGTTGCACTTTCTGTGAAAAGTTATTCGTTGACATTTCAATTTGTCCTTTTCTCATTGTGGACACTAAAGTGAAGATTCCTTTTGAATATGAAGTGATTTCACATTGGTAGAGGTGAAGTTCCTCACATATCTAGAAACGTGTACAATGCGATTATTCTGTTTGTATATGGAAAAGTAAGAAGAACTTGAAAGTGTTGATCAGATTCTCCAATATAAGGTACCAGATCGTAGATGTAACGAACTGGCTGGAATCATCTGAGCGCCGAGTCAGATTGAATCATCATGAATTATTGAAAATTATACCAGCGTGTTTGAGAAAATATCACAACAAGATTTCGTTACTAACATTGCGTTGTGTGAGCCACAGCTTATTCAGCAGAATTATTCGCATTTCATTAACCATCAAAATATACGGTCAAAAATTGCATCAACTGAAGTCAGTTCCTTTGAAAGTCACTTGTCGATAGACATTTGTACCATTAGAGAAATATAAGCACCATCATCATATACTTGTAATGACTACTGTCAAATTGTCATATTTGCATCATTGCCTGTATGAGTGTGTTTGTATGTGAGTGTGCAAATGGTTATCCGAAAAAGCTACTTAACAGTTTTATCAATAAACACGAGCAGAACGAAAAACAGAAGAATATACAATCGTGGCTATCCATGATGCCAATTCCATATCAAGAGGAGACAAATCGAAATCTTCAACGACTACTTCCTTCATAAAATAACAATGTCTATTTCTAGCCTCTAGAGAAAGCTTTGATGAATATCGCGTGTTCGGTTGCCAAAATGTCGAGAGATAATTTTGTCCACAGGATAAAGTTTTCAGAAAATGGCTCTACATGCATAGTGGAGATCAGAAGACAGGTGAATGTCAGAGTGAATGAACATGGACTATGTACTCAACTTTCAACTCAATATAAGGTAGAATTAAAATGTCTTGAAAATAGATCAGCTGTAGCAATGCATAAATGCTATTATTATTATTGTTCCCTTGGGTTCCTAGTAGAACATAGGGCTTTAACTGCACGTCTCCACCTGCCTTTGTCTTCTGCTGTACTTTTCACCAGCATCAATCTTAGTCTATACTGTTTCAACTCCTCTTCACACGATCTCCTCCATGTCACCCTTGCACTGACGTCCCACTCGACGCTTCCTTTTCGGCCTGATTCCACTCGAGCAATGGCCTAACGCTAGCGCGATGTCACCCAGTGGCCTCCTCAGCCACGAGTGTGCAATCCATCTCCACTTTCTCCTGCATATTTGTTGGGTGGCGATTGGTTCTTGTTTTGTTTGTTCCCATAGTTTCTTATTGGTGATTCTTCCCGGCCCGGCCATCTGATCTTCAATGTAGAACCAGTGAAGACAGTTGTTGGTTGATAAACGTCTGCAACGGGCTGTTGGAAATATTCTTTGTGATCCGCCCGCCAAGTTTCTGTCTGATCCGTATGGAAGAACTGACTGACTTGACGTTTGTATTGAAAATCCGACTGAATTTTGTTGTTGATACTGGCTGAGTGACGAAGATTTCCAGATTGGTTGTTTCAGGTTGATGAATGTGTTTCTTGCCTTTCCGAGTCTCGCTCGATTTGACATCCTCGTCCGTTCCGACTGCGTGTAGTTGAGACAATTCTCCCTAGATAAGTGGTGAATGAAGTAACCTCTTTCAAATCCCTCCCGTTGATGGTGATTGGCGCTGGATGTTGCTGATGTTGCTTGGTTATTTTCATCACCTCCGTCTTGTCTATGTTCACCTGGAGTCCTGTCTTCGCCGGCTGCTACTTCGACCAGTTTGTCACTTTTCGCTTGTAAGTCTTCGATTTTGTGTGACATCAAACATAAATCATCCATGCGTGAAATCCAGGTCTTCTAGGTTCTTCACGTTAGTCCAGAATATCCCTGTGTTCTCATTTCCCCCTGTTTGACGCATAATCCAGTCCATTACAATTAGGAATATCATTGGTGACAATAAGCACCCTTTTCTGACTCCTGTGTTTACTCCAAACGCCTCGCTGAGTTTTCCGTTGCGGATCACTTGAGATGTGCCGTTGTCATACAGCTGTTGAAGAAGGTTGATGAACATTTGGGGTACGCCGTAGTACTCTAGTAGTTTCCAAATTACTTCACGGTCAACGCTAACTGTCGAAGGCCTTCTCGAAGTCTATAAAGTTGAGGTAAAGGTTTGATTGCCATTCCATGCTTTGTTCTGTGATGGTGATGCGTAGAGTTGCAACTTGGTCAGAAGATGATTTGCCTAACTTTCCTGAATCCAGCTTGTTCTGGTCGGAGTTCTGCATCCAGTGAGTCCTTTATTTTCTCCAGGATGATGCGACTCAGGATTTTACTTGGCGCCGACAGGCGTATGATTCCTCGCCAGTTCTTGCAGAGTACTAGGTCGCTCACCTGTGGTAGTTTTACGAAATGACCTTTCCTCCAGTCAGTAGGCAGTTTCCTTCCTTCCAGACCTTTTGCAATAATGGAGTCAGCATAAATGCTATAGCTTGTGGAGACAAGATTGACCTTGAGAATGTCGAGATTCTAGGAAGAGATCTTCACGCACATAAAGAAAAGTTTTCCTCTGAAGCTTTGCACAGTTTATTCACATCAAATGCAGTGAATGGGAGAAAAGGGATAAACTATTAACCCACAAGGCACACTCTATTGAAGCAAGACAAATGAGAAAACGACAAAAGCCTGTGTAAACCTCTGGGACCTCTGTTAAAATATTATCATGTTTATTACATGTGAATTCAGGTATTTCCATATGACAAATAACATACATTCACACACTCGTACAGAGAATGGTGCAAATATGATTATTTGACTGTAGTCCTTAGAAATACATGATAGCTATGCATTCATTTTTGTATTGGTACAAGTGTGAATCAACAAGCAATTTTCAAAATAAACTGACTTCAAATGATGTAATGTTTGACTATAGATTCTGATGGTTAATAAAATGCCAATAATTCTGCTGTATAAGCTGTGTCTCACACAACGAAATGTTCAGAACAAAATCTTGTTATGATATTTTCTTAAACACGCTGATATTATTTTGAATAATTTTTGCAGATCCTTGAATATCTTGAATGAATAACATCCACTTCTCGCTACTTTCTCGTCATCATCGTATTTCATCGACATGATATCTACAGCCTTCATGAAGTTTTCTGTAAACATTTTACATTTCATTGTGAGAATTAGCCAGAAAGTCAAAGTTCGAATGAATTATTTTGACTTTCTCACTCTATTTGTTACTCCTCTTCCGAATACATCTTCAGTGCTCATTGAGTGATGGCGTTTCAACTGGGACTTGTAGAGTTTCACTGGAAGGCCATGAAGGTGGGAAACTTTGTCGTTCGAAGTGAAGAGTGCAGTGTTCGTATCACATTGAACGTACCATCACTTGTTGAAAATTGCAGGCAAGTATTCAACGGGCATCAGCGGTATATGTAGAAGTGCGTGTCCTAGATTCCCATGCTCGTTCCTACCAATGGAAAATAGCTTCACAATAATCCGTAGACGTCGTTTATGTCTCCGTTTTGAAAGTCACCATGTCAACAGAGACAGAGTATTTCACTTCAATATAATCAGGTAATTGTCCATTATTCTTTTAAATAACATATAGATTTCTATATATTTACATGTGTGTATATATATGTATAGTTGTTTCATGTTTTCCTCCATATTTTGTGTTAATTACTTAACTACAGATATCTCAGAAGAATTTTGCACTGGGTAGTGAGTGAATATCCAATTTGTGCAGTTTTTAATGCAACATTCAATATGAGCTATAAACAGATTTTTAACTTCATAAGCTTGGTAGGAATGAATCATTCGCATAAATGTTAAATATCTTTCAGTTATTAATTGCAGAGATTCTTATTGTTTGCAACACACTTCTCGTTTTTTGCTTCTATGACAAGTAAGATTAGAATTTTCTTCAATTTAAACTGCTTTTATTATTTTAACAAAGAGCCTGCTTTCGAGCAATAGCCGCTGCATATTGGTGAGTTGCATCTTGTAAACCTGCATTATTATGATTGCGTTATTATTATTTCCTTGTGCTGAAATGCGAAAAATAGGACTCCGACGGCTTCTTCTTCTTCTCTGCAGTCATCTTCATGTGATTCCATGTTTAACCAGATATTTTCATCTCCTTCTTCTCATACGATTTCCTCCACATCACGCTCAAACCCACGCTTTAATCATCGACTCTCGTTCTTGTTTAACTCAGTGTTGTGCCTGGTACGTGATGTCACTCAACGGCTTATCCAGCGTGTCTACAATCCACATCCACTTACTTCAACAAATTTTTTGAGTGATGGGTTGTCAGTTGGAAAAATTCTGCAGCCAGTTAGGGATGCTTTTTGCAACTCACCAAGTGTCTACAACATGTAGAAGCGCTGATTTGAAATCAACACTGAAAATGGGAATCTCGTTCTCTAATGCTGACTGCAGTAGATTTCCACACTGAAAGTGTCTCTCTTGACTTCTTCATTTTTGTTGGCTTTGACATTTCCATCTGTCCTGCCACCTGCAGTTGCAATGAGATGATGCCTTTATAAATGAAGGAATTGATTTCCTCCCCTCCTGGCTTATTTACCTCTCCTCTTCGAAGTGATACATACATGTTGGTGTCTATGAGTGTTTGAGAATTCTTCAACCGCGTGAAATATTTATTTTCATAAATATATATATCAAACGACAAGCAATACTCGATCATAAAATGCCCAACATTCGACAAGCTCACGGAAAATTAGCTTATGTTTGACTACATAAACGAATTAGTTTATCTCTTGTACAGTTAGGCCTAACACAGGAGTGCTACACATTTCTCCCGCTAAAAGACTGAAATAATAAATAATACATTCAAGTGTTAGACATAATTTTATGAGGGTACATTGTGAATAGTGGCGTAAGTGCATGGAAAACCGTTGGTGTAATAAGCTGAAAAATACGTAACTCAACCCAGAGTTTTGAAAAGAAATTGACGGACAGTCAGTGGTATATATATCAAATACACTAACGACTATATGACTGCCAACTATAACAGAAAATAATCCGAATGATGGAAAATTATCCTGGGATCTGTAGACTCCAGATGAAAACGATATAGGAATAATAAATATTACACGATTGAATGCAATTATGCACAACAAATCGCCAGTTTTAGAGAACAGGAATGTAAGCTATACTATACTCGATAATGCGAATAAGCAGTCGTCTGTGAATTTTGCAGACAGATAGAAAAAGGGAAGATTCACAATATATATATATATAGTGAATTTCCTTAAAAGCAAAATCAGTCTTCCAAAGATTTCTTATTGGAATTGTAAATTTCAGATAATAAAATACGTGATGTAGAAAGCGTAAATCGGGTAGAGACTAAAATATAATAAAATAATTATTATTAGAATTGTCACTTTTAGACAACAAATTTCCTTGATTGAATAGACAATCAAATCAGATTAAATAAGCAAGTTGAGTGACGTATTCTAATTTACAAGGTTAAGTGGATCCCAGCTTGAATTAAAGTTGAACAAAAGTCAAGGGAACCACTGTGGTGATAAGAGGTAGAGAATAAACAAGGGGTGGGTGAAGAAAAAACTATACAGGTAAGCAACAAAGAAGCAAGAAATAGACGAAAGAAAAATTACAAATTTAATTTTAAGATAATTCAGGTCCATTGTGAATTCAATGACTGAACATACTTCTTTTTGTTGCACATTTCATGATTTAACGTGCCCATTGCAACTGCTTATGTCGTTTGAAGAAATAGGGCTTGAACTCTTTTAGAAAGATTCCTAAGTGGTCTGTAGACAACTATGAAGATCCATTGTGGGTAAGCTTGGTGTTCATATTCGATCAAGCATTGGAAAATAGATCTGCGTTTGGATAGCAAGCGCTGGGTACACTCGACATATCCAGCTCCACAAGAGAAGGTGAATTTGCAGATGCACATGGATAAGGCAGTCAATTATGGTAGCTTATTCCCCACGTTCATGTGAATAACCACTTTCTTGGAGAAGATGAGTGGAAGTTCAGTCGCGAAAAGGGTTTTCTCCAATAACCAGCTGCACAGGCAGTTTCTCTGTATTTACACTGATAATGAGTCTCCCATGAGTTATAGATTCAAGTAGGGAAGTCTTTTAGCAGCATAACTTATGTGAGGATTCAGTGGTTAAGCTTTGATGAAACGTTCTGGGTAGCCGTTTTCGAGGAGACTTTACTTCATTGTGCTAAGCTACTCTTCCTAAGCGACTTCTGTGGATTCTGTAAATCAATAAACGGATTTAATTTCACTTTGTATGTAGGGCCACTCAAATGTGAAATTTAGTAAGTTTTCTCCTTGATGTTGGCTTTATGTAGACAAATCTTTCTACTGTTCCACCTTGTTCACGTCTTGTTAATTAGGGGGCGTCCAGAGAAGAGATATTTTTGTATCATATTCTGTTTTTAGTGTTAAGTGGATTTCTGGATGGTAGCTTTTGAAGAAGTCCAAGATGTTCTCCAGGTTCTCGTAATTGTAATCGGGAAATTTTAAATTCATACTGTATTGAACAGTGATGATTCGAACGTCACGTTTATGCCAATGAACTCTTCTACGAGAATGCGTTGTCTTTACTGTTTACGCTGCAGTTTTCGGGACTGGGGTGTATGTACGTCGTTCAGTTGATCTAAACCATTCTCTTGGATTTGGTTGATAGACACTGGTCTGATTCTATCAACACTGATTGTTTTTCCTATATTCGATCTTTCTACCGTGATAAAGTTGTCATTCATCTGTTTTACACTAAATGGATCTTGGTAGGTGGGATGAAGTGGTTGTTGTTCAACACCCCTCCTAACCAAAAAACGTGAGTGCAGTTTGTCAGTTGTAGCAGGATGTATAATGTTGTTGGCATGGAATGGATATTTCCAACACATTCACGTGTTTATTTAGTAGATAAATGTAATGAGTTATATCGCTTGGATCTTGGTTAGCTGAGGTGAAAATCCACCCTGGTAACATTAATGTTGTCGTGGAGACTAACTCGCACGTGTGTAATCCCATGTTTTTCTTTAAAGTTCCTCGCATTCCATGTAGTACCGGTGGGAGTGTGGTGTACCTGCCGCTTTCGCTCATAGAGATGGCAAGCGCAGTTTCAAGTTCCCGGTGAAATCTTGGAGCCATCACATTTAAAATAAGATGATACGAGGTCGTTTATATTCATTTCATTCCCAGTAATTTGGTGAGTTTTTGAAAAAGACGTCTTTCGAACTGTGCACCCCTGTCTGTAGTGATAATTGGCGGAAAACGAAAGTTCGCCATCCATTTTACAACCAGAGCTCTAGCAAGCTTTTCGGCGGATAAGTCTTCTAGTGGAACTGCTACTAGTCAACTATTGAATCTATCGATGCAGGTGAAAATGTAGCTGACGTCATTGGAGAGAGACAGTGAACAAATGATATCTTTATACATGTAGTCAGATATTGAGTCGGAGTAAGGAAAACAAGCAGAACGGCGCATTGGTGTGACAATGGATATTGACGGTTTGACAAGAAAAACAATTTTACGTCCACTTCTCAGCATTGCTGTTCATGTTTGGTCATACAAATATTTCTTTCAGCAGCTTTATAGAAGCACTGACTCCATAATGTGAGTGATTATGCAGTTTCTCAAAAACTGTGCGTTTCATAGCTGCTGGAACAATGGTCGAAATTCACTGGTAGATGTATCACAGATCACTTTGGTTTGGCTGAAGATAAATTCTGTGAGTTCTAAGGAAGTAATTTTGAAGATATAATCTTCTTTAATTCAGCATCATTACTTTGTAGGTTTGCGAGATTTTCGCATTCGATATCCGGATATACAATGTTGCTAATGTGCATACGAGACAGAGCATCTGTAGCTTCATTGTTTTTACCTTTTCTGTGTCAAATATCTGAAGTAAATTGGGATATAAATTGAAGATGTCGTAGTTCGTGAGTAGTCATCTTGTTCGGCTTATGAGTCTTTCATAAGTAGCGCATATTTATTTTAACTCAATTTTCTTGTGAACTACCCTTGATAAACATCCTGTCATTCTGAATTTCAGGGTTTGTGGAATTGTGCTCTACGTTATTCTGAGAAGAAACGAATACTTACAGTCATTTTATCCGTCCAACATCGCTTTGATATGGATATCTGTATGTGAATGGTTAAGTTAATGCATGATTCATGCGACTGTTTTTATCTCTCACGATAGCTGCTTGTTTATTTATTAGTGTGTCGAATATTGTTGATGATCAAGTAGAGCAAAACAGTGAGTACGGAGTAGTGAGGCTTTTTCCCACAACTAATTACACCTAAATACCTTTTCCATGTTTGTTGTAATGTCGACATGCATGAATATTGCTTTGTTGAAAGTTTTCTGATGAGAGAAATGTTTAGGTAGATCCAAGTAAGGAAATGTGTCCGATACACAGACCTTTACTTGAAGCACGTAATTTATCCGAAACGTGTAGTTTATTTTCTCATCTCATTTCGGACATTCGTAACACACGCATACACGTACACACAGGATGTTGTCACACACCATTACTGTAATCAGCTTTATGATCGATGTCATGCTATGATTTGCGAAAGATGACATTGGACATTTACTTTCAGGGTTGTCTCAATCAGCCAATTTTACCCATTCCTACAGACATTTAGGAAACTGTCCGTAAAGGAACATGGGTCGTCCCACACATGTTTTAAAGTGGTAGACACAGAGAGATACGACACTACCGGCCTAATGCTGTGAGGGTCTACTGGACAAAAGAAATCCCTTGTGATCCTTTTTACTTTGTTGCCTTTTATACAAATATGTATGACAAGTTCATGTGTGCGATCAAAATATCCGCAATATGTTACGTAGGTAATCGCGGGTATCAAATAAATAACGTCTTCTCATTGATTTGTCTGAATTCATTTGAAACTGGAACGTTGTTTGACAGTCAATTCAACTGTTCAATTCACCTGTCTGGTTGCATGAATATCAGGTTGTGTTATTGAATGAAGGGCCACTCTTGATTAAAGAAATTCCTGAGAGAATAAAGTTCAATATTGTACGAATGATATAAGTAGGAATGATTGGTGGGATATTCTGTATTCTAAAACCGATTTATTTACACACAAATGTCTCCGTATAGAAATCATCTGTAACTATTTAGGATAGAGTTGTTAAGGGTGTCAGCATATTTGGTAATTAATGAACACATTGAAATGTTATTCTGTTTGTATGAATTGAGTTACAAAGAATAAGCCCAGTTATACATCAACAAATCTGAATGCAAGTGTTGATTCTGAAGGATTTGATTGGATTCAGTGTTTCATCGTGAACTGATATCGGTTAGCGAATCACTGAAAAAGTCGGATGTATTGCACAGCTGGAACTCCTAATCAGCACGCACCCATTGTTGTTCAAAGGCAGGAGCTTCCGGTTACAAGGCGATCTCGTAGACCGTTAAGCCAGTGAGACCCGACTAAATTGCCCATGAATTCAGTCACACAACTCTGATTATACTCGATAAGTAAATAGACTGCAGGAGCAGATGCGAAGTCGATATGGAAAAGACTAGATCAACGAAGAGTATTCTTGAAAAGTGGTCCGCGAATATTCAAGACCATCGAGCTTCATAACATGTTGGCTGTGTATTAAACCGACGTTTTATTACCTTTTACATCGGCAGTGAGTGAGGTGACTATTCAGAGTGGTTGATCTGGTTGAAACACAATTAACCCTACTACAATCAAAATCCAGACCCTCTGTTAAACAGTATTGCTGTTATTCTTCGATCGGGAGCCTTCGTCTGTTCAGAGTTCCATTAATAACTCAAAAGCTCGACAGTTACTGTTCGGGAAGTTAGTGACATACTTGATTTGTTTCTTATGTCAAGCATGCTTAAATGGATATCATTTTCATTCATAATTAATTTCGAAACAATTCGTGCTTTTTCATTTATTCAGCTTGTATATCTGATATTGGGTGCCGCCTTTCTATTCTTTGATTGTGCAAGTTTAAAAATGCTCATTCCTATTGGCGTGACATTGTTGATTTCTCTCTGCGTGGTATTTCCTTCCTTCAGAATACGGGATTTGTCGAGGAGAGTAATAGTCATTTTCACTTCCATAGCAGCAATACTGACATTAATTGGAGTATTTTTTATATTTTTTTCGCCAGGAAATGTGAGTGTGTTTACCTATTTAACATTCACATGTTTATAATTAGATATTATATCAACAAGTAGTTATTTGCAGGGTTTGGGTTCGTGACAGGTTTGATCACGAGACAACATGAGTTAGAGAACCACTGGAAAACGTGGTATTACTGGATGCTGGTTTAGAAGAGAATGGCTGACCATGCGATACGGGAGTTCAACTTGGTATTTCAGGCTCAGCTCCGCAAATAAATACAGACTAAAAAGATATCTATGTTCAGTAAAAATTTTCTTTTCATGACATCTCATCAAATCCGTCTACTTATTTGAGGATCCACCAGTTAAGGAAAAATGGTTGCTAAATTTCACTGTGTTTTTCATTTTGTAACAGAATATATGAAAACATGTTGGATAAATAGTGGGTCACGTAATCTGCAAACCGCTATTTGTCGACTATCACTCAAAACTAATTACTACTAAGTCAACGGGCGCCTGGAATCAGGAATATTATTCAAATGAACAACAGATTCAGAGTATTTGAGATGTATTTTCAAGAAGTTGAGAGTTTGAAAGAGACAAAAAAGTGAAGAACAAATCAGAATGAGGATGGATTATATTAAGTGGGAGTTATAATGAAGAATGGAGATCTTGAGCCCAGATTCTGCTGTAGACAGAATATGTAACTGGAAACCTGTTAAACGACTTGGTTCTACCTTATGTATCATATTGACACATTTCTCCGTTCATCCGGAATGATTTGCAAGAACACGATGCATAAGAATTAGACTGTTGGCTTGTCTAATTTTGCCTTTCCACAAGTATATTGGAAGATGATTTTTTCAGTGTCTAGATAGTATCCCACTGGTACGGACTATGTACCAAGCTCCACAGGAGTAGGAGATTTGATAGATACACATGGATAATGTTCACAGTAGAACATTTTCTTTGACACTTCAATGAACCACATAATTCGTTAATTTTCCCTGACATGTATTTTTAATGTTTTATTACCAACTGATGATAATGAATGACAACTAAAGAAATTGCCTGAACTTTCTCAGCACTATCTAACTGTACAGCTTCGATGTGATGTAATGACGAGAATACTGATTGCTGTTCAAGGTCTAGTTGGTTCACACCACATGGTTATGTTCCGTACTTTAAAAATTACAAACATTTGAAACAAGGTAAACTACGCATCGCTATAGCGAGTAACACATATATTTCTTTGATTCCGTGTTAATTGTTAGTAATAGCTCTATCTGAAACTGATTCGACTGCATGGATAAGTGTCAATGATATTTTTAAATCTTCATCCTTTGTGTGGCGAGAGAGAAAGATAGGTCTTTCAGCTGGAGTTTCGAACTTTCGTTAGCTGTGGTGTTTTATTCTGCAGGGTGAGGTTGCAAGTCGCATGCTCAGCTTTTCATCTTCACAACGCTTACTACCGAAAAAGCGATCTTAATGAGTGCTTCGTTCAGGAATCGAACCACAGACCACGTGCGTGGTTGGCCAGTTTGAATAAGTAGAGGCTGGAAATAGTTTCCAACAAGTAGACGAATAAGGGTCATACGAAAGTCATCCGCTATCTCTTTGCATGTCAACAACCGACAAACATATTGCAAAGGATTTCCTTAAGTAGTAAAATACTTGCCTGCAGAACATACTCTGGGATCCTAAATTGCACATCTCTGAAACTGACTTTGTCAATTACTCGAAGATTATCGGAAAGTGTTGATTGGCTTTATTTTTTTATCTGTTATTCCCACTTTGGACATTTGCATGAAGCAAAAAATGCATGCGGTCACTTCAATTATGTATGTCCATATCAATCTGATTCTCACCAGTTTGAAAAAATTCGAGCATTGGGTATATGATATTCATTTCAATAAATGTTGTTTTTTGCGATTCCCAACGAATGAAAAACAAAATGTAATAATTTTGACTGACGTTTTGCGATTTATTGCTGCTATTAGATTATCAGGGTATTATTGAACCAGAATTTACAAAATATCATCTTATGTATTACAACCTAATCGTCTTTCTTAGCATTAGGTCATTTTCGCGTTGTCAAGTTGACCAATTAGTAAACATAGCAAAACCAAGTGTATATTGCTGCATTTGATAAGTGTATAAGATTATAAAAGCAGCGTGTGTTTACGTGAAATGAAATTGCTTATCGCATCCGTGTTGATATTGTCATTTCAAGGAGGAAGTGGATGCTGTGATCAGGTCAAATTCTATTTTTGTCCATCACTCCTATTCAGAAGAGTTGGATTCAATTTGATATGATGTGCTTCTGATACTAGACATTCTTTGTGATACCTGAAGTTTTTCTGGATTATTTCAATATTGTCAAAATCAGTTTTGGTGGCCTGATTCTATAGCGCGTATCCCATGGCTGGCTGGCTGATGATTTTTCAAGCATTTCTAGTTCAGTTGGATTTCTCGGCGATCAAACAGATGCTCTACGGTGTTCATTTCTTCTGATTTTGATTTCTAGAGTTGTTTTCCGATGCATATCGTATCACATTTCGAGCATTTTATTTTATAGACACAATTTGATAGAAAAAACTTTAGGGATTTGATCCTATGGACAAGATTGTTTTGAAATGTGTCTGTGGTTTTGAAGGAAGCTGTGATTTCGAGTTTATTGGGTACTCTTCTGATATATTATAATATCGTCTGACGTCTCTGCTCTATATGAAATGACAGCTGTTGATGCCCATGTCATCGAAATACGTCTTCGACCATACTTAATGTCAGTGTTGATTTCGCTGATGAAGTACTTTGGGTAGTTGCTTTGCTTAAGAATCTCAGTAGTGTCTAACATTTCTGTTGTTTCCTTCTCATCCGTTGACATCAAAGAAGACTTGAAACAACTAATACCTTTGCGCTGATATGGTGTGATGATCCGAAGTCTAAATATTTATTGGCGTGGAATATCTTCTTGAGTGTAGATATACTAAAATGTCCGTTTTTCCTCCCCTTAACTAGGCAGTCTAGAAATGATAGTTCACCGACGTCTAATTCTGCTTCCCAAGTAAACTGGATTCTAGGAGATCGATTGTTCGGTTTTTCTAGGAATGAACTGTGAACATCACGTTTCAGCACTACAAAAGTATCACAACTTTTTTTGGACTGATTATGTTTGACATGATGATATCTTCGAATATATTCATGAAAAGCTCAGCGACAATCGGAGAAACTGGTGAACCCATAGCAACGCCATTAGTCTGTCCACATAAATTCCCTTTGAATGTAAAATAATTACTTTCTAGACAGCATTTCAAGCTCTTAGTTATTTAACTGTTGTCCGAGGGACATCTTCGTGAAAGCGTTGTATCTGATTCCAGTAGACTGGAAATGATATCATGACTTTCATTAATAAGAATATTAATACGTAATAAGTTAATATCATAGCTGAGATAATATCTTCTTTATCAATTTCTCGGTGTTCTATTTGGGATTTGAAATCATATGAATCTTAGAGAGGTTGTATGTCGGTGAGTTGGTGAAATCTATTACTTGCCTTGTAACAGGTATTGTCGAACAGTCGTCACTACTTTTGTTTCTCGCTCGATAAGACTCAATTTTTATCTTGCAGTTTTGTATTCCTCCCAAATAAATTACTTTGAAGTTATGAATATTTCAGTTATCATTGATAAATTCAAAAATATCGCTGAATATTTTATCTCCTTTTTACAGCCACCTTTGCAGATTACGGGCGGTATTTTTCTTAGTGTCGCTGCAGTCGTAGTAAGTTGACATATCTTTCTGTATAACAGTGCACTGTGTAGTGGTCTACGTTATCTAGATGTGAAAAACTGCCATTGTGATTGGCGATATGCCATTTCCATGCTCCTGCTTTTAGGAAGAATGGTGGATTCCAGTTTTTATTCAAAGTACATTGAAAGTAACATTTGAAGAATGAGCGAAGAAAACGTAGAATCAACAGTGCAAATGCATCTGTAAATCCAAGAAATTTGCAATCCCATCCACCAGTAGACTCAAACCATAGGTTACTAGAATGTTGTGCGTTGTAGCAGTTTGCAAACTGTGCCGAATAGGTGTTCACTGCATTCCTGTTGAGAGGCGAAATCTATCAGTTGTAAAATTTCGAAAAATCGGATTGATAAATTTGTTTTATACCAACAGGTCTGTTAAGTGAAGATTGACCAAAACATTGGGAAAATTTGAGAATATTAGACAGCGGAAATACTAAGAATGACACATTACCACACGTAGATGTCTGATGCTGACTGACCTTCTATCAGCGCACATGTAGTTTTGAGGGTGTACTTATGAATGGTCCTGAACAAGGACGAAACAAATCTCCAGTATTCGCTGGTGATTTTCAGTGATGCTTTGAGAGAAGCCTGTTCGTTGTTACAATTGACTTCATTACAATCCTTACACACTGCTTTTGAAAAATAACCAAGGAGTATTAAACAATAAAGAACAAGTGAGATATACAAGAAGTTGAGTGCCACGCGAACAAAATGACCCGTAAACACACAAATTAGCAGAAGAATATTAGAACTTATTTGAACGACCAATGACAGTTAAGATCAGCAGGACAAACATATTACTCATGCAGAATTCAAAAAATTGATTACATATTGAATTAGGCACTGAGGACTACGAAATTCCCTTAATAAAATCATCCAACTCACAGAGAGAGAGAGAGCGATGACCTGAATCAAATGGAAGAAGTCGCTGCTATTGACGCAATGATTATGTAGCAATATTTCCCACTGAATGCATCCTTATGTTCAGTGACTGCAGCGAATTTCTACTTGTCTATGGAACACATGCTATTTTCATAAACCACATCCGTTTGCCTATTCAACTAGTGCACCATTTCGACTTAAATAAAGTATTTCAGTGAAGTGGGTTTGACCTTCTGAAAGCAAATTTGTGAAATGTCAAGTAATCACAATGAATTCCATTAGTAATATTCTTAGGGGCGGTTATTCAAATCATCAGTTTACTAGACATCAATAGTCAATTTACATGTTAGGTTTCAACGCTATTAATCACCGTTTATTTTTATCCGGAAGCTATTCAAATGATCTTCTTTACCAGAGCCAAAGTCACACAATTTGCACACGTGCTAGTCGAGTGACCTGTGAAATTCAGGTTGACTACATCTGATTGTAAATTTCTGAATTAATTTTTCTCTTAATTTTCATTAATTTGTCAAGTTTTTGAATGCACTTGATTTCTGATTTCAGGTAATTTTCACTATCTCTTGTGGGTTGCAAAGACGCCTCAAACAGGCTGTCAATTGGTTTTTTCTGCTTCTCGAATTGCTCAAACTTTGCATTCCTATCATTGCATTGTATCTTGCTTTATGTGTGGCTTTCATTATCAAAGAGGTGAAATCGGAGCCTACGCCTGAATATGGGTGTTAAAATGGAATACAGTGCAATAAAATAAATAAACAGTGAACTTATGTATATATTTTCCACCTGATAACTGATAAACAGACTAGTTCTCTCTTAATTTTCCAATTTTTCATCGTTGTTGCATTGACTTTGAAGTTTGATTCTTATTCGTTAGATGAACAAACAATTTCGTTTTCCTCCTGATTAAATTCTTTTACACAAATGTGAATGAGAGATGCTCAATGAGAAGAATTTGTAATGCAGATATGAGTTTCTATCTTGAGAGATTGATTAATCTAAAAATTTGTATACAGTAAGAGTCATGCTGATTAGCTTGGTGATTCCTGTGATACTGCAGAAGTGGGCTGTGCAATCCAACGAAATCAAAATCACTTCGCTATTATCCTTAAAAGTAAAAAATAGCAAATTTTCTTCAGGTTACAAATCAGTTTCCGGTATACAACGCTGCAGTAGAGTGTTGACTGTGAACATCAACCTGCAGTGTAGTGTTATTCAAATCATCTCATTACTATTGAATATTGCGAAGTATGATGTCTATGGGTTGATGAGAACAAAAGTTGCTTGTATCAAGGTTTCCATACACAACGGAAAGTCAGTTGTAGGCTCTTCTTGAGGAAGTGAACTTATCATTGCATGACTTTCTGAAAGAAACTCACTCTAGAAAACATAATGTTATGAAGTGAAGTTATGCAATTGGCTGATTTGCTCGTCCACTGTGTAAAAGCACTTTATTTTTGTGCATTATATATGTTAAGAATGTTGGTATCTCTCTGCTGTTCAGCTGAGATATACCTAGCTTCCTTTCACCAGAGTTCAGTTCATAAAGCAAAATGAAAGAGTGTTACCTGAAAACCAACTCCATTTCTATGCGGTTAAGAATGAGATACACGTATTTGATTCGGGGTTAATCTCACCAACATGCTCCTCCAACCTTGGTAAGTGGAAGAAATTCACAGTCTCCGGTTTGAGGTGACCACTCCAGATGGTTTCCAATTGAAATTCAAATTATCGAGATCCATATATGTGATCTGCTTGAAACCATAAACGGTGATCAGGAATATATTTATACCACTAACATAAGTCACTAATCAGATCGAAGTGATATGAATTGTGGATGGCCATTTCAGTCGTTTGGCGTTGAGGCCATTGGCGATGTACCTTGTGTCACTCATCTAAGAGAGTCGAACTTGTTCAAATCCTCCAATTGTTACCCATTCGAAAATAGTGAATCTGATTTATCATAACTCCAAGTTGCCAAAGTAGTTGGCCGAAAATCAGCCATGTTGAACTGATTTCGCTCTTTCTGACGAGTCACACAAGGTACGCTACTGATGAGCTTAGAACTAAACGAGTGAAATGACCGTCCGGTGTCTGGATCACCTTGATCTGGCTGGTAACACTTATTGGTTAATAAGAGTGGCACTTCAGTCAGTCAGTCAGAAGAATACAGTTTCATATATTTACTGATGATAAGCGGAGCTGTATTAGAATACATGACCAAGTAATCGGATGTACAACAATGTACTCTTTCGCATTTTCTCATCACAGCTATAAGGATAAACAGTTACTGAAATAACGAATCAAGAAATCAAATATCACAATCACTTGGTAACATGATGAATTGAATTTTACATCTGGAAGAAAACTGGAAACCAGCCTAAGTGCTGTTACACAGTCTAATATATTAAATGTTAAGTAGGACTGCTAGGTGGAATAATTTTCTGTAAAGAAAAATGTTCTCAACAAGAAGATAACCGGATATATACGTCTAAAGCATGGAAAGGCGTTTAATATTTTGACCATATTACTTACAAATTTATCATGTAGCCTATCAAAAACGTTTGTAGCAAGAGTAGTGGAAGTGACCAAATAAAACAGAATTCCCCGTTTACCTTGTGCATCAGTGAATCTGATGTCTATGAACAGTAAAAAATTTCATCATAATTAGCCGGTTTTAGAAGAGTGAACATCCTGAAGATACTTCAATAATGCTCATGGTGGAAATTACTGTTTAACACAAAATGAAAATGAATCTGTTTAAGACTGATATTTCATCATAATTCTGGAAATTCGAAATAGTCATCTCAAAATATAAGTGTGGGTGACGTGGAAATGTATGCTAATTCCTGGATGTAATTCCAGTCTTAATTGGTTTGCATAGATTTTGTTGAAACAAATTCAGAAAGTGATCAGAGTAGCGCATGTTACAGTGGATGCTGATCAAATTATCATGAGGAAATCCTGGTTATTGGATGAGACGATTATTGAGAAAGTGCAAGCAGCTTTATGGAAGTATTTTGTCAGTTAGTTCAATTTGTGATTTTCATAGGAGCTACGAAGTCGTAATGAGACTGCTTTATCACCTTTGTGGACAAGAATAGTCAGCGATGAATACTTAAATTAGAAAAATGTTTCCAGGATGACATGAGATTATCGTTTCATTTTTCAAACTGTGCACACACTTCCATGCAGCTGATCAACAAAATTTCAACCTGTGTGAAGATAAAGAGATAATTTAAGAGTCTGTGGTAAAAATATGCCCAGAGTTTGGTTCTATTGTCATGAACAGTTACCATGATTTAAGTCCTGTCTCAGGGTCAAATGCAACTACCAACAATTACCCGTTTGATTAGATATTCATAATGGTGTAGAGTCTTCGAAAGTAACATGGCGAAGTAGAAATCTGAATGTTTTACAGAAAAGTGCACACCTAAGTGATCTTACATGTCTTTTATCCATTAGATATGAAAATCATCATCGTATTTTCAACATTCGATGCCTGAAAAACTGAGTGATTTTCAATTCCCATCTGGTCTCTTAACATTACAGCGGCGATATCTACGGTGTAGGAATGTGCAGCAATGATCTATCACGCATGATTTACGTCAGCTGTAGTTTCATTATCGCTATGTACTGACTGATTCAACCTAGGACCTGTCACAGATGCGTCGTATCTCATCCTGTCGTACATAATGGAAAAATAACAGATAAGAATCCCGGAAGTCGAAATACGTGTGGATGAGATATTTGTGATAACAACTAGATGACAAATAGTGGCCACACCCACGTCATGTCACTCACCATGTTTCTCCACCTAAAGCAAGAAACCTTAAGAATAGAATAACTCCGATGTTTAAGTAATTTCTACTCTTATCTGAATTTGTTTGGGACTGAAACGATGCTCAATGCACACGTAGTTTTGATGTGTAACTTTACATCTGGCCAATGACAGATATCCTGCTGGAGAAATACTGTAGTATGTACATAACTGTTCCTTTTACGCACCTGTATGCTGATGTGTCATATTTCACTGATACTCTCACTATAGATGATATACAGTTTGACTATGCATGAGAAGCATGTTCACAGAGTAATGAAAAAGTGGATCTGTTCATCCAGATAGTTGTGTCACTACACGCATCACGCCCTCAAGTGGAAGCCGATAAGGTTTTGAGGAGTTAAATAATGGTCCAGGTGTGAATGTGGAAAGAAGCTTTTAGAAATCCTTCTCTGTCATTTTTCGAGTAGCTAAAATATCGTCAGAGGCATCTAATTACTGTATACTCGAGACAATAGAAACCATTGCACTTCGTATATATCGGCTGTAACTCTGAGTACAAAAGAAACAGGTCCAGCAACTATTGCTACCGTGGTCTAGTGAGGTATCTATATATTAACCAATTCTGTGTCAAGTTGCTCAGTACATCTGACATTTTTTTTGTTTCACGCTTGAAGATGAGATGACATTTGTCATAGAACTATTGATAAACCAGGCTGTGCTGGACAGCTTTTGTGCTGAAGTTTGTAACTCTTCATACTGACTGAGATTCAAGTATTCGACTTTCCATTTACAAACTTCTTCATCATCTAATAGTGAGGTATTTATGTCAATGAAATAGAGACAGATATTATGATTATGCAATTCGAATTTTGAATGATTCACGTACAATTACATCACCACAGTACAGAATGTGATATTTCGATTAACTGTACAGTGATTATGTTCTGATTTATTCGAAAAGGCCTATTACTTTTAATGAAATGGACTGGCTGCCTGCATGTAAATAAGAAACAGGCATTACATGTGTAAAGATCATTTTCACTGCATAGTTGGTATATTCACTGCCATTAGTTATCTTATTATCATTACTAATATTGACACTATAATTCCATGCCACCTTTGATACTTGAAAAAGATATTCATTTTGAAAAAATAAGAATAGCCATGGCAAAACGTTGATCTCAGTTCCAGCTTCTTTAGATTCTCGAGTATTAGTTTTAGTCGACATAAACAAATAATTAACTTGTTTTCAGTGGAATTTGAATCGGTAAAGAATGCAAAGATCAAACAATTAAAAACAATATAATTACTAAAATGTTGCCGATGAATAATGCGGTTGCCTTCACTTTTGATCATTTCAAGGCATCAAGGATATAAATTCGGAAGTGTGGTAAACATTTTTAATGAATAGCAGTTCCGAAGTTTGATCACGGAATGATGTCAGTTAGACAACCAATGAAAACTAGGGATTATTAGACAGCTGTTTAGTTTGGAAGTCTTCAACCCACCACCAAGGTAAGAACTCAAGATTTTCAGGTTACAAGCTGGGTTCGAACACCATTCAGCGGTATCGTTGCTAATCCACTGTTGTTTAATGTGAACTTTACAATGCGTATTGCATAGATTTCAGTTTCTTTTTCGGTTGGGAATGAACTGTACTCAAACGATGGGCATGATAAGAAATGCTTCATAACAGTGTGCTTTTATTGAATACAATTTCTCCAATATGAATTTACACTGGAAAACAGTGTTGTGATTTTGTGTTCCCTGAAATGGAAGGTTTATTTGCGGAGTTTTTGTCGCCTTACCAGGCAACGTCTTCAGCGCATACTTCAATTTGAAGTGAGCTTTCTTCTGTTAAGTGATTCGGTTGACATAGTGCTGAGTGAAGCAATTTTGTTGGTTGTTATCGCTATTAATCCTTCACGTTCCGTGTGCAACCAGCAGGATAAGCACCAAACTGATTCACCTGATTGATATAGGAGAGAATTCAAAGTCACACATATCAGTTCATTTATCTTTCCCCAATCTACACTAGTCCGAATCAGAGTACAGTTTTCGAAAACTTCCTCATCACTTTCTACGGTCATACGTCCATGAAATTTTCGAGATTTATTGTCAATGGAAACATTATTGTTTCAATTGACGTCGAGTCAATAAGATAAACAGACCACATTTTAAAA